CCTCCCCCCACCCCATATCCAACAGATGGGTAGGGCGCAGGGGGGAACAAATACATCTACTGCACGACAAGAGGCAAAACCGCCTCACGGCCTCATGACGGAGTTTTGTCGCACTTCCAGCACGACTAGGTCATATACATACCGATGATTAGGTGTTACCAGAGCGTAATAACATACCAAAAAAAAAAGGAGAGGTAGCCTAGTGACGACGTATGTTTAAAAGGAATAAAGAAAAAAGCAAACCACATCAGAGCGACTATTGACTATAAAACCACCCACAGGTGTTGACAGGAGCACCATACTGAAAACAAAGGAGGATGTGTATTTGGGGGGGGGGGGCAAAACCTAATCGGAAACAATGAAAAAGAATCTTCGGTTTGGTGCGAGTTTTAACAACCCACCATAGACAAGTAGATCGTTTACAAGTAATACGAGGCGTAACACACAGCCACATGGTTAGAAAGCAGACAAAGGATGGTAAAGTTATAAATCACAATACAACAGTGTAAAATATCACATTTGAAAATCAGAGCGGAAAGAGTAATGGGTGTTGTACTTCACATATTGGTGGGTCACATCCTGCTACTGTGTAATGGGTCTACTTCACGGAGAGAGTAAAATACAACCAACGTAGAGCGAAAATGTTAATATATGTAATTGAGAAACTGGTGGCAGATTCCTTCCAAAATTTCAACGCACAATAGCTCACAGATTCAACTTCAAGTTGTGCCAAAAGTGCATCTGTATAGTTCGTTAGTCCATCAACGGAAGAGGACGTATTAGACTCGGAGTAAAAGGTTAGTGGTAATTTTTTTTAAATAAAGTAAACGGATGAAAAGTAAGTAAGTACATGGGTTTAACACCCCTATCAATACTATCGGGTTATTAAGAGGCGGGTCATCCTAATCTAACGCCCGTCTCCGATAAGACCGTGCAGACTGGATTGAAAGCTTTTAAACTTCCCAAAACGACTCCAGTTCAAGAACGTCCATGCTGGGATTCGAATCAAAGCCATCCACTCTGTAGTCCAGCATGAAACCAACTGAGCTAACAGGGCGCCCCGGATGAAAGTGAACCGGTGGAAACAGTGAAGTCTTAGTTTTAGCTTCTAGTAAGAACTTTACGGCACTTGCAACACAAATAGGTCATATAAAAGCCAAAAAGGTTAGGTGTTACTAGAGGTGTTACATACAAAGAAATGAAGGTAGAGAGATATGGACGATGGGCGTTTTAGTTTTAGTAAGAGTTTTACGGCACTTGCAACAAATAAAGTCATATAAGTGCCGAATATAAGAGGTGTTGCAAGAGAGTTTTTGTTTTGTTTTTAGTAAGAGTTTTAAGGCACTTGCAACACAATAAGGTCATATAAGTGCCGAAGATCAGAGGTGTTACAGGAGAGTAACATTCATAAAAAAGAAGGAGGAGAGATAAAGACGTTAGTTGTTTGATAGGAAAGACGCAGCAACCCAAACCAGAGCACCCGCCATACAAGAGAGTAACGTACAAACACAAAAAAAGAAGGAGAGATCAGGACAATAGATGTTTGATAAGAAAGAAGAAGCAAACCACACCAGAGCACCCG